TGACCGAGGTTTTAACCGTTTCCTACTCAATCCAAAATGAAAAAAAAGTTGTAGGTTTATTTTACTTTAATTTGTAGTAGGCAGGTTCCACATATAAATACTTATCGTGAGTAGACATGTGCATTTCGTTTCATAACAAATACATTTTCAGACGATAAAGTGTTTGGATGTATTCAAATCTCTGAATGGACATAGTGACGAATGTCAACAAATCCAAAAAAATATTTATAATAATAGTAACGAGATTTTTGTTTCACATGATGCGATAGTAGTTCGGGCCCATGAGGAAATGAATTAAAGTTATTCATTCATTTGATTTATTATTTTTATTATTATTATACAGTATTTATAAAGCGCCAATAGTTCACTCAGCGCTGTACATTACAAAGGGGGACAGAACATGTGACAGAACAATACCAATACAATGCAAAACATGAGGGGATCGAGGGCCCTGCTCTTTCGAGCTTACAATCTAGAAGGGATGGGATAGTGGTACAGGAGGAGATAGCTGTGGGGGATGGAGTGGTAGGAAGAGTGGAGGAGGTCAGCAAGTTAGCAGGGGGTGAGGTAGGCTTCCCTGAAGAGATGGGTTTTCAGGGTGCGCCTAAAGGAGAGGAGAGTAGGTGATAATCTGATGGGTTGGGGCAGGGAGTTCCAGAGGATGGGTGACACCCTGGAGAAGTCCTGGAGGCGGGCATGGGAGAGGAGACCAGGGAGCTAGAGAGAAGGAGGTCTTGTGAGGAGCGGAGTGTGCGTGCTGGGTGGTACTTGGATATTAGGTCAGTGATGTAGTTCGGGGCAGTATGGTGGACAGCTTTGTACGTCAGTGTTAGGATTTTAAATTTGATCCGTTGCGCAATCGGAAGCCAGTGGAGGGATTGGCAGAGGGGGGTGGCGGAAACGGAGCGTTTGGAAAGGTGAATGAGTCTGGCAGCCGTATTCAGGATCGACTGATAATTCGGATTCAAGTAAATTTGTGATTTAAATTGAATTTGAAGTAATCTATCGGCCTCCTGGACCCGTGTCCTGCTTCCTTGATAACTTCTCTTCCTGGTTAGTCTTCTTTCTCTCCTCCGAGCTACCCACCATCATCCTTGGAGACTTCAACATCCCTATCAACATAAATAACCCGGCTACATCCCAACTCCTCCACTTAACCTCTTCTTTTGTTCACACACAGTGTATACAGTCCACCACCCACGCCGACGGGAACACCCTGGACCTTGTTTTCTCTCATCTCTGCACCCCCCCACAACCTCACTATCACCCCCTTTCCTCTCTCTGATCACAACCTCATCACCTTCTCCGTCTCCTCGTCCTCATACACCTACCCCCCCAAAAGTCAAACTATCGCCAGCTGAAACCTCCGCAACTTGAACCCTGCCCCCTTCCACTCTGCAGCTGACCAACTTTACGACAGTATCCTTCCCCTGTCCTGCCCTGACCTGGCCACTACTGTTTATAACAACTCTCTGTTGGCCGCTCTTGACTCCTTGGGACCCCTAACCACACGAAGCATTAGACCACGACCGCTTCAACCCTGGCAGAATGACCATACCAAAAATCTCAAATGACGCAGTTGTGCGCTGGAGCGATTATGGTGCAAAACCAGATCCCAACAAGCGTTCGTTCGCCCGATATAAATCTGCCTTCCTCACCTACACGTCCTCCCTCCACACTGCCAAGCAAGCCTACTTTGTAACCCTCATCAATTCCCTCTCCTCCAGTGTTCGCCGGCTCTTCTCTACTTTTAACTCTCTACTCTCTCCACCCCCACCTCCACCCATTACCTCACTCACTACCCACAAGATTGCTAACCACTTCCAAAGCAAGATCGACGCAATTAGCATTGACATCGCCATTGCTCAGACTTCCACCCCACCTAGCATCCCTCACACGAAAAACCCTCTCAACACTCCTCTCCTTCGACCTCGCCACTGTCCAGACCTCCACCCCACCTAACATTCCTCACACTAAAACCCCCTTAACACTCCACTCCTTCGACCTTGCTACCACTGAAGAGGTCACTAAGGTCTTCTCTGAAGCTCGCCTTACCACCTGCCCCCTTGACCCTGTCCCCACACAACTCCTACGATCACCCTCCTCCTCCATCATATGCTCCCTCACTCACATCTTTAATCTATCCCTCTCTACTGGCGCATTCCCCTCCCCTCTGAAGCACGTGCACATCACTCCCATACTTAAAAAAACCCTCCCTGGATCCCACCGACCTAAACAAAATTAGACTCATCTCCCTGCTGCCATTTACATCCAAACTCCTTGAGCGCTTAGTTTATAATCGCCTAAGTTCCTACCTTACCGACAACAACCTCCTTGATCCCCTACAGTCTGGCTTCCATCCCCTACACTCTACCGAAACCGTCCTACTCAAACTCACCAATGACCTGCTAACCTCCAAAGCTAATGGCCATTACTCAGTGCTCCTACTCCTTGACCTCTCCGTGGCTTTTGACACGGTTGACCACCCCCCCCTCAAAAAAAAACTATATTCTCTTGGCCTCAGAGACTCCGCTCTCTCCCTGGCTCTCTTCCTAACTATCACAGCGCTCCTTAAGTGTTACCTATAATGCTGCCACCTCCCCCTCATGCCCCCTCTCTGTTGGGGTCCCTCAAGGTTCTGTCCTCGGATCCCTTCTCTTCTCCATCTACATCTCCTCCCTTGGCCAACTGATACACTCCCACGGCTTCAACTACCATCTCTATGCCAACTACACACAAATCTATCTCTCTACCCCTCGCCTCACCCCTTCAGTCTCCACCCGAATCACTAGCCTACTGAACGAGATATCAGATTGGATGTCACTCCACTTCCTCAAATTAAACCTTTCAAAAACCGAGCTCCTAGTTTTCCCCCCCCCCCCCCCCCCCCCCGACTTCTCCATCACAACCAACAACACCACCATCAGTCCCACCCCGCAAGCCAGAGTACTAGGTGTCATTCTAGACTCCAATCTGTCTTTCCAGCCCCAGGTCCAATCACTGACAAATTCATGTAGACTCCACCTCCGCAACATCTCCAAAATACGTCCATTCCTAACCCCAGAAACTACTAAGCAACTCTTTCACTCCCTTATTATATCACGACTTGACTACTGTAACTCCCTCCTCACCGGCTTACCTCATCACAGGCTATCCCCGCTTCAGTCTATCCTAAATTCTGCGGCCAGACTCATCCACCTTACTAACTGCTCCGTATCCGCCACACCCCTCTGTCATTCCCTCCACTGGCTTCTGATTGCCCAACGCATAAAATTTAAATTACTAACATTGACATACAAAGCTGTTCAAAACACTGCCCCAAACTACATCACTGACCTGATATCCATATACCACCCAAAACGTGCTCTCCGCTCTTCACAAGACCTCCTACTCTCTAGTTCCCTGGTCTCCTCCTCCCATGCCCATCTCCAGGACTTCTCCAGAGCTTACCCCATCCTCTGGAACTCACTACCCCAATCCATCAGACTGTCACCTACCCTCCTCTCCTTTAGGTGCATCCTAAAAACCCATCTCTTCAGGAAGCCTACCCCGCCCTCACCTAATTGCCGATCTCCTCCACTCTTCCTACCACTCCATCCCCCACAGCTATTTCCTCCCGTACCACTATCCCCTCCCTCCTAGATTGTAAGCTCCAAGGAGCAGGGCCCTCAAACCCTCGTGCATTGCACTGTATTGTTACTGTACTGTCTCGCGTACTGTCTCCCATTGTAATGTTCAGCGCTGAGCAAACTGTTGGCGCTTTATAAATACTGTATAATAATAATAATAATTTGTAATTGTCAAAGTCAGTCAGTTCAGTTCCACAGTCTAATGCATTTCTTAGATTTGAACAATTCGGGGGCCGCCAAATTTTGCACTATTTATTTCTTTGCATTTGAAAATATTGAATAGTTTCAATATATGAATATCGAATCCACCTGAAATATTAAAACCAAAAACTAATATATAGCAATCTGTCAAATACATGAAACAAATGCCAAAGATACGAAAAGAATCCTGAAACCTGAAAATCCTGAAAACAAATCAGTTCAACATAATGAATACGATGAAATTATATTCTTCATTGGATGAATGCATCCGAAACATAACAAAACAAAGGCATGCACATGTCTAATTGTGAGACTCCGCAGCAAGGAAAAATTTATATTTATACATACTTGACAGAATATTTTTATATTGTATGCTATTGTTCTCTATATTTGCTTTATACATGCTGTAGAAATCCAGTTAAAGTGGAACTGAACTCAAAATGAAAATTTGCTATGTGATAGAGAATACCTAGAAGTTTTAATTGTGCCAAAGAAATATTTAGAAAAATCAACCTTTTGTCTTAAATTTCTCATAAGAAATAGCAGTGTACTTCCTGGTATGTGTGTGTTTCCTACTGTATGTGACTACAGACTCATGGCTGTATAGCTGCAGTGTGAAATAAGAGGCACTGCTGCATCTGACTGTTGATCTCTGAATATTTTGCATGAGATTTGGCAATGTCACTACTGTGCTGCTCACTGTTCCTACATGTAGCCTCTGAAATAAGGAAGCAAAGTGCTGCCTCTACCAAGATGACCATCCCTGCACAAAAACACACACAGTCAGTAACAGGGAAATATAAATTGCTGGGAAACCATAGGCAATACCAGTGACTAGTCCTTTGCCCTATGCATGCATTTTCTGGGCACTGCTACCAGAATTGAGTTCCTCTTTAATGTCACTGGTACCACACCTCAGGACAGGTCCCCTTATTTATCCATGTATAGGGCCAAATTGGTATAGAATGCATTCCATTGTGTTTCAAGGCATTGACCATAAGGCTTTCCTTATGTACATATTTGCTCTAGGTAGGTGACTTGGAAAGTGTTGGAGCAAGGTGAGCAAAACAGCTTGGTATGCAGCATTTTCAGAAGGAGAATAGCAGACCACATATAGTATACAACAGAAGTACAATATAAAATATTTTCTGGTGTAGTATTCAATGAAAAATGCTTCTGTTTATTTTTTTTTATAGAATAATCGCCTATGAATGTTGTCCTGGTTATGAAAAGGTGCCTGGAGTGAAAGGGTGCCCTGCAGGTAAATGTTATAGTGACTTTCAATGCCTTGTCTTCCTCCTAATTTATGGTATATTTTATAAAATATTATCAATCTCTCTCTGTCTCTAATTTTCTTCATTTTTATTTTGGAAATGTTTTGTTTGTTAAAATATGATTGCTCTTCTAATGTATTTGTGTTTTATCCAGAAATTAAGACTACAAATATAACTATATGCAATTTTCGTCGGGTTATAATACACCTAATTTCTTGTTCAGCATTTTTATTACAATAATATCTTCAGAATTACAGACATTGCCTGAGAGCAGTTTTACAGTTAAAATACCAAATCTGTTAATGTCAGTTTGGACCAAATGAGCACCTATTACAATGAACCTGAATACTGAGCTCTAATGCATACATACTGTACAAGCTTTAAAGATGGTTCTATAAAATTACCTTTTTTTAGTCAATAGCAGGCACAATACTCACTGTATGAAATTTATCAAAACTGGAGCAGGCAGAATGTGGAACAATTTTGCATGGCATTAAATGAACTTCTATCTTCAGCTTGTTCAGTCAAGCTTTAAAAAGGAAAGAAAGAAGCTGATTGGTTGCCATGCACAGCAGTTTCTGATTCAGGCTGCTTCTGTTTTGATAAATTCTCCTCATTGTTCCTTAATACGGCAACTAAACTAGTAAAGCAAGAACTTTCCAAGCGTGATATTAATCTTCTACACCAAGGCCCAGTTAATATCTTGAGTCAGACATGGACATCAAGTGCTGTCCTATGCAACTTCTGTATATAAAGACTAAATCACAGCGTAGAATGATTTACTCTAAACAGATTGCAGCAGTATAAAAACACAGACTTAAATTTGTGGGCCACATATGACACTAAATGTTGGTGTTCACACGGCCCTAGGCAACATTTGTTCTAGGCCCTAGCTAAGCAATGGTTTACTTTTTATGCTCACCTTGTGGGTTCCACATTGGGTCTTCTATATGACAATGTGTTCTTTGTGTCACCATGGCTGAAAGTGTGACTCGCACTATGGGTAATTATGTAACTTGTGGTATCCTTTGACTATCTGTACCATTCTCTTGAGTAGGGTGGTGATGAAACGTGTATGTGGATAGAAAAACTATATTTCCTGTGGACTCTTTTTAAGACTTAACTTGAATGTATGTTTTTTTTTTATATATATGTCTGACAATCTCTTTTTCTCTTTTTGTTCACTTTTATATTTCTGCTAAAATATCCTTCCATTACTTTGTAGCTGATAAATTTTCCTAGGCCATAGAACAGTGCCTGAATGGCAATGCAGAGCTAATGCCATCATTTTGTTAATAGTAATTAAGTCAAAGCTTTTTTTTAAATTTTGGATAGAATGATAAAGGATGAGAACCCCTGTGACATTTTCACTGCTATCTAGTGAGATTTTCCCTTACGTGCCATAATGGTGACATTAGTTTCAACAGGTATGAAGAAATTCTGTAACAGGGACCCAAAAGTTGACAGGAATTCTAGCCCTCCACTACTCTACAAAAAAGTAATTATTCTGTGTATTTTGCTGTTGGAGATTGTTCCCAACTTCTTGTCTGGGGAAACCATTGTCACCATGGAGAAAACTCTCTAATGGAGCAGTTAAAACCTAATGGTGGTTCATATCCTTCCCCATTCACCCAACACTAAAACACAGCTTTGGTTGCACATACACTATAACATGCATTAGTCAAACCACTTTTTTTTTTCAAAATGAGCATGCTGTGTTAACCTGGCATACTGCAGTATATGCATTGTTTAATTCTAAACATGTGATTGAGAAAATAATTTTAGTTCTAGTTCATTCTCAAAATGGCTCAGTGGACCAATGCTGATATTAAAATCAAGGCTTGCTAGTTGCATCTACAAGTCAAATTCAAAACAGCCCTTTTGATTATTAGCATGGGTAGCTTATATGCAAATTAGAACTTTGATGTAGAATAAAAAATGGATTATAAGGACACTACATGGAAAGCAAAATAATTTACAGTTAACATCCTAATGACTTTCTGCTATTTTACAAACTTTCATATCATTCACAGCACTTCCTCTTTCAAACATTTATGAAACCTTGGGAGTTGTTGAAGCAGCTACAACACAAATATATTCAGAGAAAGCCAACCTAAAACCTGAAATTGAAGGTCCTGGCAGTTTTACCATTTTTGCACCAAGTAATGAGGCATGGAAAGCTTTGCCAGCTGTAAGTACACAGTTCTCTCCAATAAGGATAAGACAGGATTGCTCTGTTGAGTATATTAGTAGACAACACGGTAAATAACAAACATATGGGCCATTTTTCTACCTTCCTTTATCATATTTATTTCTACATAATGTTCTACAGGAAATATTAGATGCCTTAGTGAGCAACGTTAACATTGAGCTTCTGAACGCACTCCGTTATCATATGGTCGACAGACGCCTACTGACAGATGAGCTGAAACATGGGATTACCATACCATCAATGTACCAAAACCTTGACATACATGTACACCACTATCCCAATGGTGTAAGTATCTTTTGATTCTGCGCAAACGTATAGTTTCATGGTGAACTACAACTGTCACATAAAAATCCACAATCAGAAAAATATAAATGAACAGTCCATATACGTAAATGTACACAAAGTTCTTTACACATGCTTTTGATTGTGATTCGTGGACCTTCATCTCAAGATTATAGTTAGCAAAACACGTTAAAGCATTTTATAGGCAAAGCAGAATTATACCTGGCAAGCTTAATATGCTTTATTACTGTTCTAACAAAGAAACAATTGTTACCTGTTTGTGTCGAATTTATATAAATTCTGTAGGTGCTATGCTTATTAAGAGAAAAGTATAATGCATGCATTGCATTTTTTACCTTAAAGTGGAACTTCACTCTCTCAATCAACATAGACTATTTTTAATCCTTATGCTGTTAGTATTAATAAATAGACAGGATAGTATTATTATTATTATTATACAGTATTTATATAGCGCCAAAACGTTTGCTCAGCACTGTACATTATAGTGGGAGACAAATACATGAGACGATACAGTAACAAAACAATGCACGAGGGGTTCGAGGGCCCTGCTCCTTGGAGCTTACAATCTAGGAAGGAGGGGATAGTGGTACAGGAGGAAATGGCTGTGGGGGATGGAGTGGTAGGAGGAGTGGAGGAGATCGGCCTGTTTTAAACCTTTATTAGTACATTTCTTCAGTTACTTCTTGGTTTCAATTCCTAGGCAAGAGACATCATACATCCCAGGAGTCTTCAGGAGGGGAGAGAGGGTTCTCAGCTCAGCCAATGCCTGAGCTAAGGGAAGATGGACTCCAGGAAGTAAATGCTATATGAATATATGAATATGTGAACTCAATATGGCTACTACCTCAAATACCAGGGGGTGTTTTTCAAAATTAATTCTCAGAAAAATAAAGCATGGAGACATGGATGGATGGGGGAGATTGCTTTTAATATTAACAGTGAATTAAATAGGATTTTTGATTTGTGGTGCTCAGATACAGTGCAGTTCCACTTTAAAGTATATCCGAGGCCTAAAACAAAAATGAAATAAAGTGCAGCTTACCATTCACATTGTTGTGCCCATTCACACTATTGCATTTTATATGTATTGGTGAATGGGGCGCCATTCAGAACAAATGGCACTCCAATGCAGCCTGCGTACGGACGTGCATTGCAGGACTGCACAACACTCTGGTTTGTGTTGCGGTGCACTGCAAAAAATGATACATGCACCTTTTGGTGTGTTTTGGTGCAGTAGGCAGCCCATAAAAAAGAATGGACTGCTTTGACACAACACAAATTAAAGCACAGTTTAATATGCATTAATGCACCCTAATGGTGTGAATGGGCCCTATAGTATAACTAGAGGTTCCTGTATCACAGGAGCCAAATCCATTTACTATGTGATTCACAAACCTCATAAAGTAAACCATAAACTTCCTTATCTTCCCTGACTGAGCCAAATCCTTCTTCTATTGAGTCTAACATGCTTCCCCTGTAGACACTGCAGCTGCCAGTGGGAGAATTTCAGCAACAGACCCAATGCTGTCAATCCAGAAAACAGTGGGCAGGACTAGGAATGGTCAGTTGCTGAATGGAAAGCTACAAGCTTCTGAATCAACAATGACAATTGATAGCTATGCACCTGGAACATTTTTTCATCCTATTTTAGTACGAGTAGACTCAGCCTACATGAGAGTGGCAACACTTCTCTGAATTCAGAAGTGCATCATTGTTGCCACATCAAAGGAAGCTGCATTAAGATGACATTAAGTGGTGATATTCTTATAAATTACCGTAGTGCTACAACACATTTAATTTTAATGGGAGGCTATAGTTCTGCTATGTGGTGGCCACATGAGTGTTTTTCAGGCTAGGCATAGACGTCTTTTGCAAGTACAGAAAAATAGATTTGATCCTGATAGAAATCTTTGTGTGACTTTTTTATATGTTTACTCTTCTGTTTTTTTTTAATTCTATTTAAAAATAGCAAAAAGTAATCCAACTCAGACTTGTATTGTGGGAAAGAACAATAAAACACAAACACTGAGTAATGTTGCTAAGCAGAAAGCAGAACTAGTGTTTATGCTAAGTAAGTCTGGTTGCCCTTTTGTACTTTTATTAGTAAAAACTATAGAAACAAGGTTTTTTTCAATATTACCATAGACTGACAACAATGTTTAAAGTACATGAAAGCCTAAGAATCAAAATGCCTGTACATAGGGTAAACCAATGGAAGAAACGCAAACCAATCTTAAAAGTTAGAAAATAAAGTATTAGTTACAATGTGACCATTCACTGTACTGCAGGGATTTCTAGCCAGAGACACTTTGAAAACACAAGGCTGTGTCACTTGCTGTGTTGTCCATGATCATATTGCAGTGCCTTCAAGGCCATGCATAAACCCACACTGCTGTAGGGGAGAGTAAGGCTCCATGCACACTAGCTTAAAGATCACTGCTTCTAAAAATTCAGTTTTGCCTATAGAAGCCGTTCAATATTATTCTATGTGTCCATGTATAATAGGATGATTAGAGGCATATTTTAGGCTCAACGTTTGGAGGCAAGAAAAACCCCATTTGGTTTGCATTTTTTGATTGGAGCTTTCTGGCAGACAAAATGCTAAACTCTCCTAAACTGTGTATAAAAATGCTCTATATCAGTGTTTTGGCAGACCAAAGGAACTGGCTTTTTTTTTTTAAGCCCAGTGTGCATGGAGCCCAAGGAGCATTTTTTTTTTTTTTAATTTTCAATGCCATACATTTAGTTATCAGTCTATGAATGGGAGCTTCCAACAGCAACATATAGCATGTGCACACTCTTTTGCTGTCTTTTTGAGGTGGTGGGCAAGCAACGGTGATAATGTCGCCACTATTACTACGCAACAAACAAGCATTTTCATCTCTAAAATACTGGTGACAGTATCTAGCAGGATTGGCAAGCAAAATGATAAAAAGACACAGAGATGAATCATAAGAATTGGCAGTAACACAGCAGACATGTATTGGGTAGCCAACCTCTGCAGTTTTAAATTTTGGGTTTGCATACACTACTGATCCCTTTAACATATGTATAGATAATGGAAACAAAATACATCTGCAGTTTGCATGTTTAAATCGGTTATAAAGGCAGAAGGTTTTATACTTTCATGCGTTATTTGCATGTTGGTAAAAAAAACCTTCTGAGTGCAGCTTCCCCTGCAGCCCCCCTCCCCATCCCCACATCATCTCTCCTTATACTCACCTGAGCCCTATCCCAATCCAGTGTTATGTATGAGAGCCAAGGCTCTCTTGGCTCTCTTACATCTCAGTGGTTTATAGACAGTAACTGGAGCAATTGGCTCCCACAGCTGTCAGTCACAGGGGGGGAAGGGGGTGTCTGAGTTTCGCTCTGTGAATCTAATGGACACACAGAGGTTGCTTGGGAATGAGCATGCACGAGTGCCCTCAGAGCAAGCAGCTTAATATGGGGGCACTTGGCGGAGGGGAAGAGCCAGGATTGCCGGCGAGGGATCTTAGAAGAGGAAGGGGATGCTCAGTTCAAAGCCATTGCACAGAGCAGGTAAGTCTGACATATTTGTTATTTAAAAAATTAGCCCTTAGAATCATTTTAACATCCTATTGTTTTCTTTCAAGATCGTTACAGTAAACTGTGCCAGACTTATAAAGGCCGACCATCATGCAACAAATGGCGTAGTCCATGTGATTGATAAAGTAATTACAGCCGTCACAAACAATATTGCCCAAGTGGTTGATACTGAGGACAGCCTGGAGACTCTACGAGTAAGTTCCTATTTCCCATATTAGAAAATGTTGGACTTGTATAAACAGTACTTTAGTCAACATAAAATTTATGGAAAGTTACATTTTATTGAGCTGACAATGGTGGGGAGAATAAAAACCACTTCCTTGTAAAGCAGTATGACTGTTCTTTTTGCAGAAGTTCAAGAACAGCTGTTGGTAAGAAACGTTAAAGCAAAAAGGAACCATTCTGTAAATAAAATGTTTGTAGTCTGTGAATATAAAAGGTTCACCTGAATAAACTGTGACTGAATAAGGCACAATGGGCTCCTGTGCATTAATGCTTTTCCACTAAGGATCATCAGTATTACACCGTGACCACTTTTAGATTTTCAGTGGTCATTTTACAGAGAAGGTTGAAGGCTCCTTTTTAGGGTACATTAAAGCGTGTCTATGGTCAAAAGTTAAAAGTAGATATTCATTTCTGAATTTAATCTGAATGATCTTGAACTTTGTGAAGATTCCCACACATTGACTTCCTTGAATGCTGTGACACGTAGTCACTATGCTCTGAGAGTAGGCACACACATTTGCTCTGTGAGTAGACTGTGCCACACATTTCACAAGCCTGCCAACTACAGAGGTGCTGAGAGGAGGAAGAGTCAGTGCAGGAATCCCAGCTATCAGGCAGCAAGGTACCATGGAATATGTAGTCTTTAGAAATGTAAAATAAACAGCAGATGCAAAGCTGTAAAGAATGCAGGGAATCCAAGAAGTTGTGGAATGAGATGACCAGCAGACAGAGAGAACTGACAACATGAAAGGGGATTTTTTTAAGTAAGTTTATAATGGATTGTTAAATAAAACTATCATTTGTATTGTTATAACAATGCTGCTGTTATAAAATGAAACTATGCTGTGAGCAGAAATTTCCTTTAACACTGGTGTGCTTTAATGTGTGCCTATGCATGGACACAGGATAACCATCATTTTCTGTGGTAACAGTTTACATCTGTGCAATTAATTTATGTTTACTAATTGTTCAGAATACATGGTATATAGTACTTGCATAACATACTGTACATTTGGTTTCAATTATATTAAGCAATGATTTAAATTCACATGTACTTACTCAAAATCTGATCTAAATAGCATTGCCCTTTATGTGTGAAAGTGCACCCAGGACTTTAGAGCAGGGGTCTTCAAACTTTCTAGGCAAAGGGCCAGTTTACTGTCCTTCAGCCATTAGGAGGGTGGGATTGTGGCCAGTGGGAGTAGAACATATCTAGACTTGGTGGTCAGCAGGGGTAGAAAAAATACTTTATTGCCTGTGGGCAGTAGGAGGAGGAATAGTGCCTCATTATTGGTATTAGAGGGAAAAATAATTTTCATCATTGGTGTCAGTGGCAGGAATGATGCCCCATCGTTAGTATTAATGGGGGGAATAGCATCCCATTGTTTTATAAGAGGGAGAAATAGTGCCCTAACATTGGTATTAGTGGTAATAATAGTGGTATTAGAGGGAAGAATAAACTTGATCATCGGTGACAGTGGGAGGAATAGTGCCCCATTATGGTTACAGTGAAAGGAAGTGTGCACCATCTCCGTCATTGGGGTGAATAGAGCTCCAACTTTAGTGTTAGTAGGTGGAATAGTGCCTAGGTAAGAGGAGTAGTGCCCTAGAGGCTGGATAATGGCAAACAAAGGGCCACATCCAGCCAGCGGGCCACTGTTTGGAGACCATTGATTTAGAGATAAGGATGTGCCAAAGAATTAGTGGAACAGCTGGAAAAATTAAGACTTGTACGAAGCCTTGCATGAGAATTATTTGTTTGTAATGTGTTAAAATGCTCATCTCCCTTTGTCAAATGAGCTACAGCAATGACATTCCACATAACATACATAAAGGGCTTACTACGAAAAGAATTGAAAGTACAAATTCCTACACATGTTTCTTTTTAATAAATTATTCTATTTAAATATTTGTACAGTAATAACATTTTCAATGAACACTTTTTATCTACTAAACAAATAACATAACAACTGTTACATTTATTTAGTTTTTATTCCATCCCATTAAAAAGATTTAAAAACCAATGCTATATGTTAATATAGTGATCCCAAATTGTGCATATAGCATATACGTAGATGTCGTTCATGGATTATCATTCATACAATCTCACTTCAGTATCTCTCATCTTATTATTATTATTATTAATTATTATTATTATTATTATTATTACACGAGTTTATCTAGCTTTGCTCATCGCTGTACATAGGGGGGGACAATATTATACGAGGGGTAAGAGGGCCCTACTCTTACGAGCTAATAATCTCCTAGATTGTAAGACCCAAGGAGCAGGGCCCTCCTATCCCTCTTGTATTGAACTGTATTGTTGCTGTATTGTCTCCCGTTATATTGTAAAGCGCTGAGCAAACTGTTGGCGCTATATAAATTCTGTATAATAATAATAATAATTATTATTATTATTCAGGATTTATATAGCGCCAACAGTTTGTGCAGCTCTTTGCAATATAAGGGAGACAGTGCAATTACAATACATTTCAGTACAGAAGGAATATGAGGGCCCTGCTTGCGGAGCTTACAATCTAAAGGAAGAAGGAGGTGATACAAAATGTGATAGTTGTGGGGGATGATCTGGTGGAGGTGATTCAAGTACAGTTCTTAGGTGGAGGTGGGGTAGGCTTCCCTGAATAAGTGAGTTTTCAAAGATCACCTAAAGGTAGACAGGGTGTGGGCTGACCGGACATGCTGTGGTAGAGAGTTCCAGAGGATGTGAGGGGCTCTGGAGAAGTCCTGGGGGTGAGCGTGTGAAGAGGTGATGAGAGAGCTAGAGAGGAAGATGTCTTGGGAGGAGCGGAGTGGGCTATTTGGGCGATATCTGCCTATGAGGATGGCGATGTAGCTAGGGGCAGTGTTGTGGATGGCTTTGTAAGCTGTGGTTAGTATTTTGAATTTTATACAGTGGGTTAGTGGAAGGCAATGAAGGGATTGGTAGAGAGGGGCGGCAGTCACTGATTGGTTGCTAAGGTGTATGAGTCTAGCAGCAGCATTCATAATAGACTGAAGGGGGGATAACATGTGTAACTGTAGACCAGTGAGTAGGGAGATGCAGTAATCAATGCGGGATAACACCAAGGTGTGGATAAGTTGTTTTGTGGTATCATTATATTTGTCATCCCTTAAGGTGTATGTCATACCAACATTTCATATTTCTGATGAGTGGCTGTTGTACCATATACTTGTATGACAAAGCATCATGTTCTCTTTATATTACTTCCTTTGTGTGAAATACCTGGTGATCCTACTAGCCCCCCCCCCCCCCCCCCCCCTCTCCTATTTCAAACTGACCACACCAGGTCATGGAAGCACATCCATTGCAGTTTCTTCAGTCTGCTTCTTTGCATTCCACTTAGGAGCACATCTTGCCTGTAATCTAGCGGTCAAGCTTGGGCTGACAGCCCCCCACACAGATAATCACTGGGAAGATCAGTGTCCTATTGTTCCTCTGCCTCCAGCTGGCATGCCCCATCCTCCTGCAATCCTCATCCCCTCCTCTCAAAGCCTTTATGCAGCTAAGAAGAGAGGTCATGTAATCACTTATAAAAAAGAAAAAATGTATTTATAGTGTTTTAATTTGTATGCTGTATACACATTTTACCTTTTATTTCAATTTTAAACTGAATTGGTTGTTTTACAAGGTAGGGGTTCACATATACTTTAAGTCACATAGATTTAACTACTTGCTGACCGCGCTATAGCCAAATGACGGTTACAGCTTGGTCATCCAGTTTTGGGAGGGCATCATATGACGTCCTCCCAGAATCCCGCCCCCGTGCCCCCTGCACACCCACTGCGGCTCTGTGATTGCTGTTTCTATTAGACACAGCTAATCAGAGATCACTGTAAAGGTGAAGTGTGTCCAGTCACAGCTGATCGTGATGTAAACACAGTTGTCGATTATCGGCAGCACTTTCCTCACACTGTCAGAACATGAGGAGAGAAGAGGTGGTGACCGGCAACTGTGAAAGGGGACATTTACACTGATAATCAGGGCACTGATTATCAGTGCAGCCCCAACAGTGTCCATCAGTGCTGCCCGTAGTGTCCATCAGTGCCACCTATCAGTGCCCATCAGTGTTGCCTATCACTGCTCATCAGTGCAGCCTATCGGTTCCCATCAGTGCTGCTTATCAGTGTCGCCTCATCAGTGCCTATCAATGCAGCCTATGTGCGCCCGTCAGTGCAGCTTCATCAGCACACATCAGTGGAGGAGAAAAATTACCTGTTTGCAAAGCTTTATAACAGAAACTAAAAAAATGTTTTTTAAATTTTTGGTCTTTTTTTTGTTTATTTAGTAATAACATAAAAAAAACCCAGTGGTGATTAAATACCACTAAAAGAAAGCTCTATCTGTCTCAAAAAAAGATGAACATTTTGGTTGGATACAGTGTTGCATGACTGCAATTGTCATTGAAGGTGCGACAGCGCTGAAAGCTGAAAATTGGCCTGGGCAGGAAGGGGGTAAAAGTGCCTGGTAGGCACGTGGGTAATTATTACAATATTGAATTTAGGGTGGTTGATAGGAAGATGCAGAATTCTCTATGCATTTTTTAGACTAACAGTCCACTCTCTCAGCAGTGGGCTTGGAAGTAAACTATCTAAAGTAAAACAAATACATCAGTTTAGCGTACCGTATTTCAATAATTTTTTGTACAAGTTATCCAGACTTTTTCTTTAACTGTAACAACATTTTTTGAATGATATACAGTAATAAAAATCCCTATCAGCATTCACATGTACAATAACCCAAGTATCCTGGCAGTGAAGACTGCAGAAGATCATGGAGGAGCTTGTCCTTAATGTAAAGTGTCTGTAAATGTGTTTCATAAAAAATGCATAAATGCTGCTACAACTTTAATAAAATTGTAAAATTGCTTAAGACCTTTTATACATACCCCAAATATTGACATTTTGCATCTCTTTTTTTTTTTAACAAAGGAGCAGAGGGACCAAAACAAACCCATTTTCAAAATGGCTAAATATCAAGGGATCAAGATAATTAAATTAAAGATGGCTATACATATCCCCAAAGAAAATGTTGTTTAATCCTACCTACTATAATAGTGTTGTGTTTGAAAATAGAAGTCACCAGCCCTTCCACCAGACCAATGGTTTTTACATGGAAGCTTAGGGTCCAATTGGAGCTCCCTCATTTAAAATTCCCCTGTCAAGCCACCAGGTCATGTTTTGTGGTATAGAATAATGATGTAAGATGTCCAGCATACCCACATCGGTGACATGATTCTGCATATGCAGCAGTATCAGGGAGGAACAAAACATTCTCAGGGAGGAGTTCCAAGGGTGGATACTCAATACAAGAACTAGTTCAAGATAAAATTTTCCTACCTACAGAACCATGATGCAAAGGGCCAATATGGTCAACCCTCCTAGGCAAATGTCAGTAATCCACCCTCTGCAGGGATAAGGTGAAACTCCATATCCTGATTACGTTTGGGGAGGTGTAGTTTTACCCTATTCCTGAAGTGATGGGACGCTACTATTTGGATGACAATAGATGACAAGTACAATGAATGAGTAGATGTAGTATGTATAGTAGTATGATTAGTAATCCATAAATAGCATCTATACAGTATGTTTTTATGCACAAGTTGGGATCACTATATTTTATCAGTAGCATTGGTTTGTAAATGTATTTAATGAAATAGAAAGAAAACTGTATACTTTTCACAGTAAGTTGTGATATGATCTGTTTAGTACGTGGAATGGCCCTCGCTTTTTGTCTGTTTCTTAGTGTAAAATACAGGAGCTTGGTACATTTTGATATTGCTTTACGATGGCATATGTCATTTATTTTTTTTTTAGAGTGGTGTATTTTTTTTCTAAAAAAAATTGAACAGAGATTTCTTTTAATATATTCAAGGCTGCTGTAGCTGCATCACAGCTTATTGATATCCTGGAATCTGAAGACAAGCAGTATACACTTCTTGCTCCCACCAATGAAGCCTTTGAAAAAGTTTCACCAGAAACACTGAACAGAATCCTTGGTGACCCAGAGGCATTGAAAGGTACCCTATCTGTGCAAAAAGCTGATAAGATGCTTAATATTAGATTAGTCCTTTTAACATTATGTTGTTTATTCTCACTGAGAGAAATGCTTTGCATAGTATTCCAAAGAAGTCACATAAAAATCAGCATAGTACACCTCTATTTATGATAGGTTACATTGTGCAAACAGCCAATCCCATTTATCAGTATCTCTGATAAAAATATGCTTGCTAAATCCACAATCACAAATCTGCATAATACAGATTTTTTTTTCTAGAAAAAGGAGTATAACGAGCGCTGGACAGTTTTAGAGCGAAATATAAAAGCAGCTGGCATGAAAGGCAAGCCTCCAAAACGCCTCGTGGTGGACAATCATATACAAAAACATGCAGCGCTAGAGTGAATGGATCTATCTCATGATACGGAGTGACCACTTAATGAGATATAAACGCAGCTACCATAATAGTCTGCAACCAATATTATAACATTCTCATAGTTACTTATTTAAACGCATAACAATAATCCACACTCCCTGAAATTCATAGGAATTGACATGATCCATAGACATTGGAGAGGAACACACAAACGTAGGGCAGTCTCTAAGATAGAAACCAAATGGATTTTTTTACTCAAAACACTTGCCCCACAAGGGTTAAAATGTGGATTTGGATCTTAACTGTTTTTTAGACACAAGTTAAACGGTCTTTTATTGATTGATTTTATGGCATTTTAGTTTATGTCTCTGACTTCAACCGAATTGCAGGGTTACCGTGTTTGAACAATCCACGGGGCCCAGCATGGTTACCAGATATCTAAGGCCTAGATTGAATTGTTACACTCAACACTTTATTCACCCAACCCATTTTACATTGGTTGTTTTGTACTGTGAGGGTTCATTGTGTTGCCATTCTTCGGCCATATTCTCTCAGCATTATCATTTATATTTTACTTTTAATTGCATTTACATTTTATGCATGTAATGCTATTTCATGCTTACATTTTTATATTTTTATATATATTAAATATGTATATATTTCCATATGGCCACCTGTATAAGAACTACGCGTGGCATCACCTATGTAAGTATTGCACTGGGTGACATCATTATCATCCATGAAGATCGGTTTCTCAATAAATTAGGAACCGATTCTCTGCTATTAAATAACAAATTGTATATGAATGCCAGGTGTTGCCCATATTCCTATATATATGTATGGTATAATTTTAACATATATTATGCATTGTTTATCACTTTAATGTTTATCTTTTACTAGTGTATGCCATGTCCATGTATATATGTATAACTGTACACAATCTGCCTATATTAAACATACTTCCATAAGGACTTATTTGCGGTACATCTGTCCTGAGACTTGTAGTCCTACTAAGTTCATCACAGGATGACTGTGCTCCGGATATATATAATGAATTTCCTACATTCCCTGAGCACATTAAGCCTGGGAGGTTAATATTAACATCAGCCCTCTATACCGCACTGAATTCTTTCCCCCTGGGTTGATCTGTCATCCTAGACAGCAACCATAGATTGGGGTCCTTCCTCCTGTTATTTCTGTCCTTAGTGGCAGTATCCATAGACTGGGTCTCCAGGAAAATGGCCGCCGAGCGCGATCTGCGCATGCGCGTAATATTGGCGATGACGCGATAGCGTCGGACTGCGCATGCGCGAGGCACCCGATCCGCGCATGCGCAGTAGCGGTAATTTACCGCGATTAGCGTCCACAAGCTTTTTAGGCACCACACTATAAATAGGTGTCCTCCAACAGTAGCCCACTCCCTTTGATAACGTGCAGTTGCCACGAAACGCGTTAGGGAGATGCTACTTGACCCACAACCACTACCCACATGGTCCACACAACTTGACACGGGCGGCCATCTTTGGAAGTGTATATTGCACCATGTAAGTGCGTTTTTTTTGTCTACTACTCCATAATAAAAGTTATCGCACTATCGGAAGCCTCTCTTTTGGGTTTATTTCTGAGCCCTGAAGGTGATTCCTGGCCCTTGAGCGCACATCGCACCCCCCTGGAGGTCGCTGACACAAGGATTCTACTGCACACACCGATGAGCGTTTATTCCACTGGATACCTGGGAATTCCATAACTGGAGAGGACACGGATGACTCTGGTGACCACAGTAGAGACGACCACCATTCCGGCAGGTCCCCTGATCCAGTTGACCAGGAGTAAGGTCATTTTACTCCAATGCGCTTTTATTTGCGCTATCTGGTTAGTGCATTCTACAGCCACATTTCCTACCACAGATGTCACAAATTTACGTCACTCCTATGATAGATTGACTTTGACACCTTTATCACCATTTACACCTTCTTAACTATGAGAATGTTATAATATTGGTTGCTTAAGACTATTATGGTAGCTGCGTTTATATCTCATTAAGTGGTCACTCCGTATCATGAGATAGATCCATTCACTCTAGCGCTGCATGTTTTTGTATAAGATTTTTTTTTTCTGATGTTTTGAATGTTAAAAGCTACAGTTATTTTCTACACATACTGGTGTTAGAACATGCTGGTGAAAACTAGGTCAGGGTTCATGTAGACCATGCAAGCAACTACCAATGATGCACTTCTTGCCCTTTGAAATAAGGTCAGGTGATTTACAATGTCCTATAATGGGGGACTTTCTTATTCACCAGTATCCTCGCTATAAAATGCGGGGTTCCCATCAGCCATTTGTCGAAACAGAAAGAGTGAACTGACAATGTGTGGTTTACTGAGATAGCAAGTGCTTTATACTGTGAAATGTGGTGTGGACCCAACAGTACTTTATAGTGCTTCTTTTTTGTGTGTGTTCACAAGGACTTCAGTTACCTCCGCCCGCCTCCTCCTCCCGTGTTTTTTTTACACAGTTGATCTCTAACCTGTCTCCAGGGGTGGACTGACAACTCATGGGGCCCCTGGGCAATAGAGGATCATGGGGCCCCTGTGTCCTTGCCCAAACTCAAAAAAGCCTATGAAAATGGTACCAGGGGCATCTCATGGGGCCCCCCACTGACCCTGGGCCCTCGGGCGGTGCCAGAGTTTCCAAATGGTCAGTCCGCCCCTGCCTGTCTCTGTATTTGACCTGTATATTATCACTACACCCCCCCCCCCCCTTATCCTGCACATCTGTACTATAACCATTACATCTCTATCCTCCCAAGTATATGTGACCTGTGCATTAACCCCATCAACCCTTCCTGCCTTTGTTTATGGCTTGAACAATAATGTATGTAATGCACCGTTACCAAGCTCCATGTTTTAACCTCCTAAATGCCAGCATGTTTATTCATTTCTTTAAGGTGTCTACTTTACAAAAGGGTTTGGGGGATTTTCAAACTGTCCTGGCATTTTTGTTTTGACAAGGACATTTTTTTTTTTTTTTTACATTTTGGGGGATTTTTACTGTTTATAGTAAAAAAAAAGTGGTTATTGCATACTACCAAAAGTAAGCACTGTCTCAAAAAAATGTATAAAATTAATTTGTGTACAGTGTTACATGACCAAGTAATTGTCAGTCAAATTATCACAGCACTGGAAACTAATAAAAGGGTACTTAAGTGGTTAATCTCTTCCTGTCCACCCATTGCACATAGACAGTGGACAGGAAGCTTTGTGGGATAACGTACCAGTCCACATCGATGGCTCCTGTGCGGCTTACAGAACGCACACCCCGGAGCCCGGTGATTGGTATGTCACCCCGGACACAGTGGATCACATTACCTCTGTGACAAATCACAACACTCCCATAGTAAACAATGGAAAGTGAAAGTAAAGATCACTTCTCTCTGCTCTCAGTTTGAGATCAGAGAGAAGCGATCCTGCAGTCTGTGAGTGTACAGGAGCCTGTTAGGCTGCTTGTACACTCACAGACTGCTGTTCCAGCCACTCCAGTGTTTCTGATCAGTGCCCCTGTGTTCCTGATCACTGCCCCAGTATATGCATAATAAAACATGCAGCTAACCCCTCTCACCTTTCCCAGTGTGCACAAAAACACCTACATACACCATACCAATGTCCTGATCACCGCCATACCCCAAACCAATACCCTGATCACTGCCACATGCTATACCAGCACCTTGATCACCGCCATACGCCATACCAGCACCCTGATCACCTTCATACACCATATCAGCACCCTGATCACCGCCATACCCCATACCAGCATCCTGATAACCGTCATGCACCATACCAGCATCTTGATCACCCCATATGCCATTCCAGCGTCCTGATCACCACCATTCCCTATACTAGTGTCCTGATCATCACCATACCCCATACCAGCGTTATGATCACTGCCATACCCCATACCAGCGTTATGATCACCGCCATACCCCATACCAGAATCCTGAACACCCTCATACACCATACCAGCATCCTGACTACTTCCATACCAGTGTCTTGATTACTGTCATACCTCATGCTAATGTCCTGATCAGCACCAAACCCCATACCAGCGTCCTGATCATTGCCATACGCCATACCAGCATCTAGCATTTTAGGGTCTCAACTGGTCAATTTGAAAATTTATGTCCCATAGTTTGTAGACTCTATAGCTTTCACACAGACTAAATAATATATACTGTTTGGTTATTTTCAGCCCAAAAATGCAGTAGAATACATTTTGGCCTAAATTTATGAAGAAAAATGATTTATTAGCAAAATTTTATAACAAAAACTAAGCAAATTTTTAAGAATTTTTTTCAAAATGTTCTGTATTTTTTCATTTTCATATAAAAAAAATAAAAAACCCAGTGGTGATCAAATACCACCAAAAGAAAGCTATATCTGTCTCAAAAAAAGGATACAAATTTCATATGAATACAGTGTTGCATAACTGAGCAATTGTCACGTGAAGTGGTTAAAGAAGAGTGAATTTATTTGATTTTCCTGTGGCCCATGTCTTGAAACACAGTTGCTTTGCTGCTCCCCAGCTGCTGCAATTACCAAACCCTTTGGTGGGTCCAATACCTGTTTTCCAGACTGCATGCTGTGGTTCCTCCCACTGGCTTGTACATCCTTTGGTAAAGGAGAAACCACAGTGTGCAGTGCGCAATTATTCCACATGGCCAGAATATAATAAAATACTTGCAGTGGCCAAGGTCAAGTTTTCCAAGACATGGATTTCCACAAAGCTAAGTATATTGTCTCTTCTTTTAATGGGGGTGTGGAATAAAACATCCAAGTGGAGAGCCTAGTCACATGAACCATGAAAGTTGTGTTCCAATAAAGGAGTTCTCTCTGCTGTGTTAATAATTCAATTTTATGTGCAGCAGCACATTAGAAGATGCTGCAGTGCATTGACATGTAGTGATATATGTTGTGCTGTATAAAAATGCAAACATGCTGCATTTTTACACAACACACACACAATGCACATATATGGTGTGAACAGGGCAATTGTTCTCTCTGTGCCCTTCAGTTGAGCCTGTATTGATCAATGCAGCTCAGCACACCTAGTGTGAATGAGCCCTAAATCTGCCTGTCAGTGTATCCTTGGTGTGTTTATCCATGTATTAATAACTAATTCTGTTTGATGTTGATGTTTTTAGTCTACTGACTTTCTGTATATATAAACAGATAGTTATAAATTATACCCAGGAAAATACTGAAAATGTGCCATACCACTGATTTCAAATTTCAAGCAGAACCTTTTTAAAGTTTCACATTTTGCATGCTGACATGGCACACTTTTATTGAGAGCTGACAACATGCCAATTTTGGGACAGTGATGATTGTTTTATCTTTTACAGCTTAAGATTAAGCCTGTGAAATATGTGGCTGACTATTACTCAGTGCTGTGAAACATTTGGAGGCTCAAGCTTTTTTCAAAATGATCTCCTTAGTAGATGAAGATAGAAATTTAAAACGAGTTAGGCAAAGGGAGACACTGAAAACCATTGCTTTTGACTCACAACACTCTATGTGCCATATACAAAATGTCTGATTTGAAATGGAATCCTTTTTTAATGATCCCTTCAATATTTGTAAACTTTATAAGATATTTCACATGCCACTTGCGTGCTATAGTATCAAAATAATGTATATTGTCACAATACTATACTATACTATGCTACACATAGATTTAACCTGCAGTGCTCTGTGGAGCATAAAATACTTTGGTATGTAGTTTCTTTCTTTCAGATGACTTATAACTATGTTTACAGATCTGTTGAATCACCACCTCCTGAACAATGCCCAGTGCTCAGAAGCAATCATTGCTGGATCTTCTATTGAAACGGTTGAGGGAACTCCGGTGGAAGTTGGCTGCCATGGTGATGAGCTCACACTCAACGGAAAAGCTATCATCTCTAAAAAAGACATTTTGGCTACAAATGGAGTTGTTCACTTTGTTGATGAATTGTTGATTCCAGATTCAGGTATGTATTTTTTTTCAGAATGTTTTATTAAAATTAAAACTACCTACAAGCGGTAAAAAAAATAGTGGATGGGACAAATATTTTCTCAACAGTAGTATTTATGAAGAACATAATGTCATAAAAGTCAAGCCTTTGTCACAGACTCATAGACAAGTAAAAGTGAGCTAAAAGACCACTGTGACTTAGAGAGAAGTAAAATTGGGCCACTGTGTTTTCGATGTAGGACCTAAAAGTTCATTCAGTAGATAATAAATGCATCTCTCCTTTTCTCAGTAGCACATGAATGTTGCTGTTGGCATTTTCACACAAAGCTGGCATGTGTTAAGACTGGTACCCACGGGCTGAATATTGGCTGGTATTGGCTGGTTCAACAGAAACAGTGTGCAGCAGCCTGTCCTGTAGAAGCCAGTCTAGTGGCCATTTTTTATTGAACGGACATGCTGGAAAACCAGTATCCAATCAGCGCTTGCAGCCAATGACTCAGCAGGGAGATCGCTGCACTTATATTGCTTAATTAGTACGGCGACCTCTCAGTTTTTTTTTTTCGTTCAGCCCCATGTGTACCTAGCATTATGCTGTCCATAGACTTCTAGATTAATCTTGTTTTGCCTATCAATCTATTCCCCTATCCACACTAAACAATGTGGATGGATTAATCTCCCCTTCCAGCTATTATATTCCGACAGCTGGAGGTCACAGGTGTCACAACACCTGAAAAGGGACTGCAGCTGATTGGCTGAAGTCATTGTTCGCCTAGCAATATTTCGCCCGGTTTCTTTGATGTTTTAGATCAAAAAATGTTTGGTGCAGTGGTGCTGACAGGGCCACCTACGGTTCAAATTTCTGCTTGTCCATTAGAAACCAGTAGAATTCTCACTGAGTATGGCCAACTTTATTCAAGGCCAGTTTTAGGCTGGGTTCCATAACCTAAAGATTTTCCTAAAAAAGTGACTGATGTGATTCTCTACTAAGAATCATTTGTGTTGTATGTTTTCTTTTCATATTCTAACACAAGGGTAAAGCTGTATGTTCCACAAGCATGTACTGCATATATGAACTTTAAGATGCATTTACAAAAACAGCTTTTCTTAATTATTAAGCAAGCTGCTAACAAAAAAAGCTGTTCTGTCCCTTTTACCCACTTCTCTTGACCAAGGGGTATTGATCACTGGCATACCCTGCAGCCCATAGAGATTGTTTCTAATACATGCTCAGACCCCTCTTTTGCACCATGTGAAGGTTTTAATTGTCTTTATATTGTTTGAATGAAGCAGAAGGTCAGAGGGATTACCAACCAGTGACATTGAAGATTTATCAAACAAAGCCCTTTTGACCTGAAAATATAATAGGCTCTTAACCTCTGCAAAGTGTATCTGTGAGCACAGGTGAGGGGCACAACACTGCATTTTGTGGGTATTTTCACACAGAGGTGTTTCTGAGGATAAAAATAATACAAAAAAGACACATTGGGGTTGATTTACTAAAACTGGAGAGTGCAAAATCTGGTGCAGCAGTGCATATGGTAGCCAATCAGCCTCTAAGACCCCGGTCGCCTTGGCATGCGATTTGCATGTCATGTGACTTGCATATTGCATGCCAAGTTGCACCCTATTGTCCGCAATTAAAGCAGTTATTTAACCGTACCGATTTCTAAAGTAGTACATGGGCTAGTTTTGGTGCGATTTCCATAGACATCTGTATCAGATGTCTTGCAAATCACCCCTGAAATTGGCATGTCCTCTGATTTGAAACCGTGTGACTTCACTGTAAGTCGCACGATTTCAAAGTTGGGCTTGATGTGACCGGGGCATAACTTCAGGTTGTTTAATTAAGCTCACAGTGAGTATGAAAGAGCCCTTAGTGTATTAGGTGATACAAAAGGGAAACTTTTGCAAAGAATACCCAATCATGGGCAAAGAGAAAAAAAAATTGCATTGGAAAGAGAAACGTCACTTAAACAGGTATTAAGCAGGCAGCATATACTGCAATTTTCTTTCCTGCAACCACGGATATCAGGAAAGAAAATCTCTCGATTCCCCATCAACATAGTTACTGTTGTTTGGGGAATCCCTCCCGCAGACCTGTTGTGTTCTCCTGGAAGGGGGGAGCCATTTATGCCAGGAATACATAGTGATTGTTGCTAGCAGCTATTGCCACTGGCAATAATTGTATGAAAAATCAGACAGGCTAGTTGTACCCAAGTCGTGCAATGATCGAATTGGGTACAATCAGTCTGTCCATAGATGATTTGAATCTCAGCTGGTCTCTGCTGAACAAGCCGAGATTTTAACCATCTATGGTTATATATAATTAGTATGGCTGAAAAAAAAAAACAAAAGTCCATCCAGTTCAACCATAAAAAAAAAGAAGTTATGATCCTATACCCTCAGTTGATCCAGAGGGAGGCAAAAAAAAAAAAAAACCAGCAAAGAATGAGGCATATTGCTCCAGCAGAGGAAAAATATTCCCTCCTGATCCACCGAGAGGCAATCGGATATTCCCTGGATCAATTTTACCTATAAATAATAGTATCCAGTTATATTATATGTATCTTGGAAAGAGTCCAGGCCATTTTTAAAGCAATCTACTGAGCTGGCCAGAACCAACTCTTGAGGGAGTCTATTCCACATTTTCACAGCTCTTACTGTGAAGAAACCTTTCTGTATTTGGAGATTAAATCTCTTTTCTTCCAGGCGTAGAGAGCGCCCCCTTGTCCTCTGTGATGACCTCAGGGTAAATAGCTCTATACCGAGTTCACTATATGAACCACTGATGTATTTTTACATGTTGATCATATCCCCCCTTAATCTCCTCTTCTCAAGAGAGAATAAATTCAGTTCCTCTAATCTCTCCTCATAGCTGATCTCCCCATGCCTTTTAGCAGTTTGGTTGCCCTTCTTTGTACTTGTTCCAGTTCCCCAATGTTCTTTTTGTGAATTGGTGCCCAAAACTGAACTGCATATTCCAGATGAGGTCTTACTAATGATTTGTACAGGGGTAAAATGATATCTCTCTCTGGAGTCTATACCTCTTTTAATAGAAGAAAGGATTTGCTCGCTTTGGAAACCGCAGCTTGGCATTGCATGCCATTATTAAGCTTCTGATCTAGAACTCCCAGATTTTTCTCCACCATTGATTCCCCCAGTTGTACCCCCAACTAGTATGTAAGATGCATGCATATTATTAGCCCCCAAGTGCATAACTTTACATTTATCAACATTAAACCTCATTTGCCACATAGTTGCCCAATTAAACAGTGCATTGAGGTCGGCTTGTAAGTTGAAGACATCCTGTAAGGACGTTATTCCACTGCACAGCCCGGTGTCATCTGCAAAGACTGAAATGGGATTTATAATCCCAGACCCTATATTGTTTTTAAATATATTAAACAGTAAGGGTCCCAATACTGAACCTTGGGGTACACCACTAACAACCCTAGACCATTCAGAGTATGAATCATTAACCACTACTCTCTGAATACGATCTTTTAGCCAGTTTTCTATCCATTTACATAACAATTTTTCCAAGCCCGGAGACTTTACCTTACACATTAGCCATGTGTGGAGAACTGTGTAAAATCTTTTGCAAAATCAAAGTATACCACGTCCACAGCCACCCCTCTGTCCAAGGTTTTCCTCACCTCCTCATAAAAAGAAATCAGATTGGTTTGACAACTTCTGTCTTTCATGAATCCATGCTGTCTGTTGCTTAAAATATTTTTTTTCCAGCAAGAACTCTTCTATGTGGTCTTTTATTAAACTCTCCAGTATCTTCCCAACTATAGAAGTTAAACTAAAAGATCTATAATTACTTGGTAAAGATTCTGATCCCTTTTTAAATATAGGCACCACATTGACCTTACGCAAATCCAGTGGTACTATGTCAGACATTAAAAAATGAGAAACAATGGCTTTGAAATGACAGAGCTCAATTCTTTTAAGGACCCGTGGTTTATGCCATCTGGTCCAGGTGCTTTATTCACCTTTATTCTATCTAACTATTTCTGGATCATATAATTTGTGAGCCAATGTGGATCATCTGGAGCTGTGTCAATACCATTCCCATTATGGACAAGAGCTCCCCCATGCTCCTTTGTATACACGGAGCTGAAGAAAGTATTTACTGTAATAAATTTGCCTTCTCTTTGTCCCCAGTCACCCATTGTAGATTATTTTGTAAATGGCCTACATGCTCGGACCTGACCTTTTTACTATTTAATATATGTTAAGATTTTTTGGGGGTTCATTTTCAAATTTTGTGGCCTTGATTTCCTTTTTACATATTCTGTTATATTCTTTGTAATATTTAAATGATCATAGTATTCCTTAATTTTTATATTTAATAAAAGCTCTTTTCTTATTATTTATAGCTTTTTTAACTTTGGCCATAAGCCACATAGGTTTGATTTTTAGCTTTTTAACCGCCTCCCGCCCACCATTTAAGCTAATGCCAGGTGGGCGGCGGTTCTCTCATTGTGGGAGGATGTAATATTAGAGGATGTCAATCTAACTGTGCATGCACGCCCTCGTGGGCGCGCGGAATGGTGATCGGTGGTGAGCTGTGTCCCTGGAACACAGCGGATCACCAATCACTGTAAGAGCCGATGACATCGGCTCTGTCATGTGATAAGCTAAGTCCTATCACAGCTGATCAGATATAAATAGGAAATGGCAGTTATCTGCAGTCCTCTCCTCCTGCTTACAGCTCGTGAGGAGAGGAGAGCCAGTAATAGGCATTCCTCAGAGGGGACATCTACACCGTTTTATTTATTTATTTATTTTCTTACACGTGATTGGATATTCTATGTAAAGTGAATTTTCAAATAATTTCACCTCATTCACTGAGGAAAATTTCACTTTGAAAATTGAAAATCTATTTTGAAAGTGAACATGCTCTACTGCTTGGTAAATCAACCTCAATGTTTTGTATATTGTATTACACATTTCCTTATCGCTGCATATTAGTAAATATATTCTAGCATTTTATACATAGGGGTGGAG